TATTATTAATAATTTTACCTGAATAAATTCCTTCAGTATAAAGTCCTTTGAAATCAGAAATACCATACAATCAACATATTGTCCACAATGTCACAATTTGCTCCATGTGCAGGTAAATTATTGATTTCAATGGTGGCATTGTCAACTAATAAAACTAGGTGTAACATGAACCCTCTTACTGCCAAGAATGTTTTCTTGAGCACAATTTGCCATAAAAATGAAATGGCTGATTTAAAACTGCAAGACCATATGAACTCAGAGGGTAACCATCATTGAGTCAAGTCAAAGGAATATGGGTGGAGAGTGCAGTTACCATATATCTTCACTTACAAACAACAAAGCCCCTGATCTGTCAGCTTATAATGTGGATTAAGGTAATTGTGGTTTGTTCTAATGATTATTCCTAATAAACTGCAGAGACAGACCTGCTAGTGCATTATGTGTGATGACAGATCTGCATGAATCTGTTGTTTTATAATCAAATACAGGACATGATGGCTTCATCATTCTAAATAATAACATTGTAGCCCCAAAAAAGTTAAGTGTTTTGTTGCAAGTTTACTGGCACAAAGCAGGATTGGTGGGTATCCTAAATAAGCCATATAAGGCAATGTTGGTCTGTAAAACCAACACCAGCTTTCAAATAAAATAATAAAGTGACAATTTAGGGGTATAAAACAAACACAAATTTATACTTTAAATGTTTGTTAGGTATACAAATCAGATCTATTTCAAGTGTCCTCTTAAAGCTTTTATGTGGTTTTACACATCACTTTTTAAATCAAATATACTTGCTGAAAACTCCCACAATATCCATTTATTTCCACCATTACAAAAATATGATCTTGAATTCCTGTGATCATGAACCATGACATGAATTTTCTTCCTTTGATGACGTCCTTGCAAATCTCCATGTTTTTTTAATGAGGCATATATTTCCTTATTTGAGCCATTATCATGTATTTCCCTCCCCAACTCCATTCTACCACCACCACCCATCCCATCAACCTTAAAATTCATGACATTTTTGTGTCTCCCTACAACTGTATTACACTAGATCACCAAATAAACCAATGATGATGTGGCCATATTGCAAACCATGAAATATACATCTTAGCAACCTACTTCTCAGTGATGTCTTTAGTACAACTCTTGACACAATTACAAACCAAATTATTGGATTCCATAAACAATAATTACCTGAGACAAAGAGCTTGACACAAAGATCAACACAAATTACAGGAATATGAAATATAGGTTACACTGACATATTTTCACTGAAAGGGTTAGCACTCCACTTGACACATTTATGTTGACTCTACAAACAATACTGTCTGAGTAATAATAATAATAATAATAATAATAATAATAATAATAATAATAATGACTTTATTTAAAGAGGGTAACATAATTAGCTGAAGAACTAATCTACCTTGAGGCCTTCATACAAAGGAACTCATTTATATATAAATGCATACATATACACATAAATCCATATCTATACAGAGCAACACTTACACAATATACTTTCTTTCCTTTCACCAGATGGATACTTGCCCAACATACTGAACCCAAACAGTCAATATACATCCAATATGCAGTTATTGACAAAACAGATGAGTAGTATATTTAATGAAGTCCAGAGGTATTTATTAATAAAAAAAATATTTATTTTCATTCTGATTTAAACTACATATCTGAAGCCACTCAATATATTGGGTTTGGAAAAAGAAAAAGAGTGGGCATTTCTAACAACAAATCATGATGATATGTCCAAAAACGGGGATACAGAAAGGTGGAAATCATCCATCAATAGACCAGAATTGTTTTTGCAATACAGCCAAAAATATTACAATTTGTAAATGAAAATTCTGTATGATAAATGTTCAACACCAGCACCTCTCCCACCATCTCAAGGAAAGCCAAAGTCAATATGATTAAAATAAAATCATATCTCCATACTCCTATATGTAGATCAGGGAGACCCATACAAGTTCATGTCTTGGTGACCTTTAAAATTTCCAGTCCACTTATTTGTAGTAGCCTATCAGATAAATCATTGCAAATTCTTGTAAGCAACACTTGTCACTTGTAACAGTATGTTCTGATTGACTCTGTCACTTGCAGAAATTTGAAAGTTGAGATTTGATTGGTTAACCACAAGGCCAACAGAACAATGGCCTCTTATTGGTTTCCTTCAGATCTCCAGGAAGGACTATGGAATTATGATTTTGATCAGATTGCCTGTAAGGAATAAAACCACATATAATGACCCACAATCTCTATTAGTTTTGATTTTCAAACTGAACAACAACAAAGTATTCTGAGTAGTCAATACTAAATACATATTCTAAAGTGACCATACAAAAAATTTCCAAAATGGACCAGATGTGAAAATTTGCAGAAATAATAGGTAAAAATACGCTGTCAGTAAAAAATTGAGTTCAAGGTAATTTTAGAAAGGCTGGCTGGGTTACAGGAAACACAAAACTTTGTATACTTGACCTTAGGTGTCATGTCTGATGACAATCCTCTTATGTGGAAATACAGCCATTTAAAAAAGTCATTTAAAAAAGTCCCATTCCCCTGTCCAATATTCACTCCCAATTAGATAACAAATAGAAGACTAGAAGGCATGCCAAGTACATGTTTTGCACCTTGTCAGTCAGCAGGCAAGTTCTTATCTTATCCAGTAATTCTGCCAGATAGTAGGATGAGATAGTTTTCATTGCTATCACCACCATGGGTCAGGGGTTTTACTGGGATTTTCTCTGGTTCTTCTTCCACCAACTATAATGTCCATCAAAAAAGGCATTAAACCCAAACAGCAGCAACAAACAAATGTTAGTACCTAAGGAAAAACCAACACAATGTCTGACCAAGGTCTGAGTATCAAAGTCGAGATTTTCAGGTACACTGGCAGTTAAAACACATCCAGGCCTTAAATGCCCATCACCTATCATTTTCCATGGTACTTTCAGCATCCATTAACAGTGATTCAGACTGGGTAGGTGTCAATATACAATGATCTGACTTGTATTAAATACTATGCTATAAAGTGGGGTATAGCTCTGTTTGCTGTTATGATAGGTAAATTTTGGAAGTGACAGCCCTTGTAGGATAGACAGAGAGATCATTCAGAGAATTAAAATTCCCTAAAACTTTCTTAAAAAGTATAAGACTTGATACAACAATTAAAAATAATGCAAACTGATGTGTAGACAACAAAGATAATCATCACTGTCAAAAAGCTTGAATTTACCACTATATGTACATTTTTATTTAGGTAGATATACTCTTCATTAGTCTATATATAACATATATGTAAATATTTCTAGTAATATCATGCCAAAATAGACATTACGAAAAAGACATCTAAATGTACTTCTGAGTAATTTTTCTGTGCTATTCATTGCTTTGCTAAAACAAAACACAACAAAAAAACAATATTTGTCATCGTATGAAGACAATGTTTCTTTTGTTCATATATTAAATGAGATTTTTTTCAGCTTATAAAGCTCAAGATGACATCAATTATTTGGCTTTTCCAGAAATTTCATTTCAAATGAGCATTCCATTATTTTACTTAACAGATTACATTTCAAATGAGCATTCCATTATTTTGCTTAACAGATTACATTTAAAATGAGCATTCCATTATTTCACTTAACGGATTACATTTCAAATGAGCAGTCCATTATTTCACTTAACAGATTACATTTCAAATGAGCAGTCCATTATTTCACTTAACAGATTACATTTCAAATGAGCAGTCCATTATTTCACTTAACGGATTACATTTCAAATGAGCATTCCATTATTTCACTTAACAGATTACATTTCAAATGAGCAGTCCATTATTTCACTTAACAGATTACATTTCAAATGAGCAGTCCATTATTTAACTTAACAGATTACATTTCAAATGAGCAGTCCATTATTTCACTTAACGGATTACATTTCAAATGAGCAGTCCATTATTTCACTTAATGGATTACATTTCAAATGAGCAGTCTATTATTTCACTTAACAGATTACATTTCAAATGAGCAGTCCATTATTTCACTTAACGGATTACATTTCAAATGAGCAGTCCATTATTTCACTTAACAGATTACATTTCAAATGAGCAGTCCATTATTTCACTTAACGGAGTACATTTCAAATGAGCAGTCCATTATTTCACTTAACAGATTACATTTCAAATGAGCAGTCCATTATTTCACTTAACGGATTACATTTCAAATGAGCAGTCCATTATTTCACTTAACGGATTACATTTCAAATGAGCAGTCCATTATTTCACTTAACAGAGTACATTTCAAATGAGCAGTCCATTATTTCACTTAACAGATTACATTTCAAATGAGCAGTCCATTATTTCACTTAACGGATTACATTTCAAATGAGCAGTCCATTATTTCACTTAACAGATTACATTTCAAATGAGCAGTCCATTATTTCACTTAACAGATTACATTTCAAATGAGCAGTCCATTATTTCACTTAACAGATTACATTTCAAATGAGCAGTCCATTATTTCACTTAACGGAGTACATTTCAAATGAGCAGTCCATTATTTCACTTAACAGATTACATTTCAAATGAGCAGTCCATTATTTCACTTAACGGATTACATTTCCAATGAGCAGTCCATTATTTCACTTAACAGATTACATTTCAAATGAGCAGTCCATTATTTCACTTAACGGATTACATTTCAAATGAGCAGTTTATTATTTTACTTGTTTCTGAAATTGCATTCAAAATAAGCAGTCAATTATTTGACTTGTTTTAACAAATTCTATTTGAAATAAGCACTCCATTATTTCACTTGTTTCATAAATTTCATTTCCAATGAGCAGTTCATTATTTGACTTGCTTTAGAAATTTCATTTTAAATGAGCAATCCATTATTTGACTTTTTTCATTTCAAATGAGCAGTCCATTGTCTAACTTGTTTTAGAAATTTTATTTGAAATGAGCATTCCTTTTTTGAGACACCCAGTGGCCTAAGTGGTTAGAGTATCTGCCTCAAATGCATGTGGGTTTGAATTGGTCGTGGGTTTGAATCCCCACTGAGTCATACCAAGAACTTATAGAAATGGTACTAGCAGCTGCCACACTTGGTGTTCAGCATTAAGAGGTTAGTGTTAGAACTAGTCAGCCTGGTGTCAGGATAATACGACTGGGTGGGACATGATGCTACCTGTCTGCAACATTATGCACCAGTGACAGACATCACAATAAACTGCCACACTGCCGACATTGTAATGATATGACTCAAATTGTTAAAGTTACATTAAAAACACACACACCGAGTCCTCATTTGACTTCTTTCATGCAAGACCTTCCATATCTTACACACTGAAAGAAACATTTTAAATGTTACATAAATATTCAAACCAGAGCCATTTTACGTCTTGGATACTGTATATAATACCTGGTAGCATCTACGAGCTGAACTATAAATGCAAACTCACCTTTTCCTGATCAATATCTGTCCACACCCTCCTGATGTTGTAGTCAGCCTCACTAAATGTTATCACTAATCCTCTTTTCCACTGTCAAGCTGTTTACTACCTGTCAACTGAAACAGATATGTTGCTAAGAATACTTACAGAAATCTATCTGCTCTTCCATCATTTACAGAAATCCATCTGCTCTTCCTACATGTGCAGAAATCAATTTACTCTTCCTACATTTACAAAAATCTATCTGCTCTTCCATCATTTACAGAAATCTCTGCTCCTCATATCTCTGTGAGCCAAATGATCAAGACATGTCAATTTAGCAAAGTATGACAAGCATTCAACCATAAAGATCACAAAATCTTGATATACCACAGCATAAATCATGGTTATTACTGACCCTAACACAAATTTTGATAAAACACAGCATAATTCATGGTTATTACTGACCCTAACACAAATCTTGATATACCACAGCATAAATCATGGTTATTACTGACCCTAACACAAAACTTGATATACCACAGCATAAATCATGGTTATTACTGACCCTAACACAAATTTTGATAAAACACAGCATAATTCATGGTTATTACTGACCCTAACACAAATTTTGATAAAACACAGCATAATTCATGGTTATTACTGACCCTAACACAAATCTTGATATACCACAGCATAAATCATGGTTATTACTGACCCTAACACAAATCTTGATATACCACAGCATAAATCATGGTTATTATTGACCCTAACACAAAACTTGATATACCACAGCATAATTCATAGTTATTACTGACCCTAACCTGCCAGCACAATTTCATTTCATGTGTAAGCTGACAGCGTCAGCTTGAATCAGTGGTGTTATAAAAATGGTATGAAAAATCACATCACAAGCATTTTTTTTATCATTTATCAAGTTCAAAATCATAAACAAGTTCTTTTTCATAAACTACTCAACATTTTGGGATTAAATTTACAATGCAAGTAGGTGAATGATAGCTTCCAGTTATCATATATGTAGCTTTCCATTATTTAGAAAAACCTGAATACCAACTACCTGACAGTGATAAATTTATCTGTAACCAAGTATTAAAAAATAACAATGTCAACAAAAAAAGTACAAAGAAAAAAAAACATATAAAGCTATTTTTAACTGCAGTATAATTAAAATTAATGGGTTATAATTAACATGAACCAATCATCAATATTTACATTTCAAGAAGTTCCAAAGGTATTTCAGTGTGATCTATTTGCAATTGTATACATGTTCCTTGTGAAAATATACTACAAATGCATGTTACCTTTAAAATATTAATTCTTGGTACTTTCATGTCACTGACCTACTTAGATCTGATATCTAATGCCAAAAATGATGATGATGGTTATAAACTTACTCCTGAAATCTACCTTTACAACAGATGACTTACCTTTGATAATCTACATGTGTTACACATGTATATCCTTTGATCAAGATAATTATTCTCCCTGCAACACCTCAAAATAGTTATACCCATAGCAACGAAACAATACCCCTAGCAACAAAGTTTCATCTGTTAGGAATATAAATTGAACCATCAGCATCAGTAATGTATTGATTCCATTCAAAAGAATTCTTTGATACATGTATATTGCCACAATTTTCTCACAGGACTGAAAACTGCAAAGACTCTTATTCACTCTGCCATCAAAGGGTCTCTGCCAATGCTTGGAACTGTATGATGAAAAACTCTGCACAGACTTTGATATACTGAGGCATTAGATGACATAAGATCTGGATCTATTTTAAGTTTTGGTTGGCATCAGTAATGACCATTGCAAAGGCTGGACCCGATTTGATTCTTTTTGGCAGCGTCCCCAAGGATTTATGTGCAGGCCCTCTATGAGTATGGCATTTGGAAATAAACTTTTAAACAAGTTGTATATGATAATGAATTTAAAATTTTCATCTACTTTAAAATTACATTCTCTCAATAGATATATTTTCAAACAATTAGTAAGGTGCAAAGTCCCTATGAGTGTGTGGCCCAATTAGCAATGTGCAAAGCCCCAGTGTGTCAAATATGAGACCAATCTGCCTAAGGCCAGCACTGGTAGGCATGAATGGCATATGAAACTACCACCTTATAAGTCAAGTCAAACTGCAAACAACAAAGACCCTGATCAGCTGTAACATAATGTGCATGCAGATCTGCTTATGTGCAGTTTGCAGTTGGACTCATACACAAAGAATATACAAAAATAAGTAGCAGATTTTGCTGGTTGGCATCATGCATGCTGGGCCAAAGAATCTCGTTGGCATCATGCATGCTGGTTAAAGAATCTGGTTGACATCATATATGCTGGGTCAAAGAATCTGGTTAGCATTTTGCATGCTGGACCAAAGAATCTGGTTGGCATCATGCATGCTGGCTGGAGAATCTGGTTGACATCATGCATGCTGGGCCAAAGAATCTGGTTGGCATCATGCATGCTGGGCCAAATAATCTGATTGACATCATGAATGCTGGCCAAAGAATCTGGTTGGCATCATGCATGCTGGGCCAAAGAATCTGGTTGGCATCATGCATGCTGGGTCAAAGAATCTGGTTGACATCATGCATGCTGGGCCAAATAATCTGATTGACATCATGAATGCTGGCCAAAGAATCTGGTTGGCATCATGCATGCTGGGCCAAAGAATCTGGTTGGCATCATGATGCTAGGCCAAAGAAACTGGTTGGCATCATGCATGCTGGGCCAAAGAAACTGGTAGGCATCATGCATGCTGGGCAGAGAAACCCATAGGACTTTTCTTTTTAGGTCCACATTTTAGACCCTCCATTCCATACTGAAGTAACAGCTGAAAGACGGTTGTGTTTCAACCTCTCACACCCTTAACCTGGCCATGACAATATGCATGGTACATGTATATGAGCAAAAGGTAGAGGACCATCATACCAGATAATCTGGGTCAAAGTTGTTTGCTGGTTGGTATGCAAGGTACAGGAGATAACAGCTAGTGGATACATTCATGATAATCATACCAGATGATCTGGGTCCAAATTGTTTGATGGTTGGCAAGCATGGTTCATAAGCTAACAACTAGTAGATACATTCGTGATAATCATATCAGGTCATCTGGGTCCTGGGTCCATGCTGTTTGCTGGGTTGGCAAGCATGGTAGATGAAATAACACCTAGAGCAGGGGTTCACACACTTTTTCAGCATGTGAGCTACTTATAAAATGACAAAGCTAAAATGATCTACCTACCACAAAATTGCAAAACATATATAGGTTGTTTTTTTTTAATGCTACACTATCTGCTCACACTACCTTCATGATTAACCGGGATCAACTTTTATTGTGAACCCATGAGTTAGAGAATACATTCATGATCATCATACCAGATGATCTGGGTCCAAGTTGTTTAATGGTTGGCAAGCATGGTACATGAGATAACAGCTAGTGGATACATTCATGATAATCATACCAGATGATCTGGGTCAAAGTTGTTTGCTGGTTGCTATGCATGGTCTGTACCTTAACAGGTGGAGAAAACTTTGATAATATTTTTATCAGGCCATCAAAAATCTACACAATATGTAACATAGGATTTTCAAAATTATTAATGTCCAGATGTAAAACAAACTCTGTAGATCACATTGCAGGTAAAGAAAATGGAAAGAATTAGAGTGAAATGTGGCTGTCACTTAATTAACATAAATATTAAGTCATAATTATTCATGCAATCTCTAAAGTTGAAAAATTATATAATTTCTTATGCTAGAATGTGTGTGTGTATGCATGTATGTGTGTATGTATGTGTGTGTATGTGTGTGTGTTTGCATGCATGTGTGTGAATTTTAAATGAAGCTTTAACAATTTTTCATTCATATCGCTTAGATGTCTGCAGTGTGGCAGTTTATAGTAATGTCTAGCACTGGGGCATTATGCCACAGACAATTATTTTAGCATGATGTCCCACCCAGTCACATTATCCTGACACCAGGCCAACCTGGACTAATACTAATCCCTTAATGCTGAGCACCAAGTGAGGTAGCTGTTAGTACAATTTTTGTAAGTTTTTGGTATGACTCAGCTGGGGATCTAACCCACAATCTCCCGCATCTGAGGCAGAAACTCTAACCAATAGGCCACAGGAGCTGTCATGCTAAAATGTATGAGGGTTTACCAGCATGTCAGCACAATCCAGGCTATATATGCATTTTAAAAGTTAAGGTCTAAAAATATAAAGCATTGCAAATAAAAATCCCTAAAGGTGAATAATCTCCTATAAAAGAGAATGTCACTAAATATCCTGTACACCAAATTCTATCCATTTTCAACAAGTAAGACACCCAAATAAAATCTAATATACATGCATTCAATTAACCTGATATATACAGAACCTGAGATTTATATATACATCTATACATAAGTTCCAGACAGAACATCTAACAGAAACAAGCCCGAAAAAATTATATTTAATTTTTTAAAGGAGTCACACTAATTACTATATTTACATTATTATGGGAAACACTAATGTATTTACCTGTGTTCACATGGAGCACATAAAACTAACATAAATCAACCTATGTTTCACAAACATGATTTTCAATAATCTTCAAAAACAGAACTAAAACGAACACTTCAGTATATGCCAATTACATACAGCATGTATACTTGGTAAACAGTCATGGTTGAAGCAAATGTAGAAATGTAAAAATGTAAAACCATCCTTTGAGCAGTTTAAAGTGAGGCTAAGAGTTGAGGTATGCACCACTATTTCATTTACTACTTAACTAGCTGACCATAGCTCTTGTAATTGGTTTCAGTACTGCAGTGGTTGAGCCCCTTGCACTAAATTGCATGCCCATTTCATACATTATGCATAAACAGTAAATAATCATAGTTGGAGCTAATGCAAAACTATTATTTGGACAGTTTAAACAAAGGCTAAGAGGTTAGGTTAAACCACCATTTTCACATATTACCTAATTGGCTGACAATAGCTAGTGTGCTATGTTTAAAAACTGGGGGGGGGTGAGCCCATTGTACTACTGTAAATTGGATAGGTAATGAGATCCAGTGTTGCCATCATTTTAAATCAAAATACTTGTACATGCAGATTGAAATGATCATATATTATTAAATTTTATTATAAAAAATGTTAATTCTTTCTGGTGACCATGTTGAACCAGTGATCTTGAAGCACATGCACAGAGTGCTTAATAGTAATCTGTCCCTGGTTATTATATATCCCTGGTTATTATATATCCCTGGCTATTATATATCCCTGGTTATTATATATCAATGCTGTAAATAGGAATGTTTAAGTGATCTGCATCAAAGGTTATTGACAAGTTTGTGAACAGCAGAACATTTCTCTGTAAACAAAGCATTTCAGCTGTCGGGGTAGTTTTCAAACATGATTATTTTTTAAAGTAATTTAGGAAGCAATGCTCAGCAAGATTAAACTTCAAAACTCTTGGTAGATGAACCTTTACTTTGTAAAACAAACCAGCAACAAAAAAAGGTTAGAGGGCATTTTATTCTTTATGGCAAATAACGTAACAAAATACTTCATTACTGTGTACCAAATCTGTCAAAAAAGGAGCACCAACTTTAACATATTCAACATGTTAAATTAAACATTCAGTTTAGTTCTCTTTATTATTATTTTTAATTTGGTTAAAATACTATTTATAGCCACAAAACTGACTAAAAGACAATAATTGTGTTGATAAATCATTATCATTAGCACCAACACTTGAAAGAGGTTTCTATAACCTGTAAAGCCCACCATTAAAGAACATGTTACGACCCCCCCTCCTAAAAAATGGTCAGTCCCAAAAATGTATGTATATTGACATTTCAATAAAAACATGCATAGCTCATGATGAGATAGAGTTTTATAGTTGCTAATTTTTATAATCATCCAGAACACCATGGTTGAGATCAGGATTCACTCAAGAATCTTCTGAATACCATTACCATACAGTCCCTAGTGAGTATAGTGATGAACACTGGTGACACTTGCATTGCCTTGAATCCTGGGGCCCTGAGTGATGGAGTGGTCTAAAGTGCTCACTGTTAGGGACTGCTGCCATCTCACATCCGTTTGTGTGGGGTCTGAGTCCTGTATTTGGCCAATGTGGCTATGTGAGAAAGCTTGTCAACAGCTTCTCATGGGTTGGTGGTTCTTTCCAGAATTTTCCTGGGTTCTTCCTCCACCATTTATACAGACCACAATGTATAGCCTATCTTGTGCTGAAAAATGGTGTTAATTCCAACAACAACAACCTTCAAACCTCATACTGAACCCTATATATCTGAAGTAAAGCATTTGCAACTTTGTGTGACAAAAATTATTTTAAAAAATGGGGACATTTTGGACATCTGGAAATTGTAGTCAGGGCTTGTGCAATCTAAGTCGGGGCTTGGATTTATTTAAAAGTCACGAGCCCTGAGCCTGTTTATATGATTATTTTCTTTGTGCACTGATATATAGAGTTATAGTGAGTAATCTATGTTCACAAGGTTAGGACACAAGAAATTCATTATCCAAGTTCTAGTGATACAACTAATCAGACAAGCTACACCATTTCCTTTTTAAGGCAGTGCAGGAAAACACCCTTGCATCAACAAGCAATCATGAACTAGTAAACTGTTACTCTACAATACAATCCAATTACATATGTACTTCCCCCAAATGTTTATGCCTTTCAGGTACCAAGAAAACCCCACATAAAAATTTACACAGATAACCAGTCAACACAATATATCATCTGTACTCACTTATAAGTGCTGTTCAACTGCAAAATGCATAGATCTGGAATCAATGAACTGACAGATCTGGGTCTGTGCAGTTTGATATAAGTAATCAGTGGAACAAACAACATAAACCCAGATCTACAGATGCATTATGCTCTGGCAGGTCATGATCTTTGCTGTTTGCAGTGTGATTTGACTTAAAAGCAAGTGTATGTGTGATTTGACTTAAAAGCAAGTGTATATGGTACTAAAGGATCTGAACTTCCACATTATCAAAGCTCATCCACTGTCTTTTATTCTCTGTCTTCAGTGACTGTCTTTCTTTAGATCTGTATTTATATTCCTCTAGTGTCTGTCTGTTGTTAAATTCTGAAAAATTAGGTAATTTCATCTTATTGAATTATTTTGTTACAACAGTTGATAAATTTATAGAAAATTCAATTCACTAGATTTGATTTGATGCCCTACATGTTTTGCAATGTGGAATAGGCCATATGAAGCCTGTAACTTGCCAATAGGGGCAACTAATGGAGATAGGAAGCCTGTAACAGGCCAATAGGGGCAACTAATGGAGATAGGAAGCCTGTAACATGCCAATAGGGGCAACTAATGGAGATAGGAGCCATCATGACTAGGTAGTTACTGTGTCAGAGGTAGTCTGCTGAAAAGAAGTAGGTTCAAATGTTACTAACCAGCCTTCATCAAGCTACCATGGTGTGTCCTTAAGCAAGGCCCTTCACTCCAATTCTGCTGAAAAGAAGTGGGTTCAAATGTTACTAACCAGCCTTCATCAAGCTACCATGGTGTGTCCTTAAGCAAGGCCCTTCACTCCAATTGCCTAAAAACACAATTGTGTTGCTGTGTCATAAAACACCTTACAAAACCAAACCAAACCAGGCATTTGGTTAAAAATCTAAAAGTCTGGTTGTCTGGTTCAAAGTTATTACATTATTACATTTTAAAGTTGAAAATGTAATGCTTTTTGATAGTCCAAACATGACATCACAAACGTTAGGAATGGATACTGTAACATTTGATAGTTAACCCAATGCTTTCTGTACAGAATGACCTGGTATGTCTTGCAAAAGATGAATGTTGTAATTTAATATTTTTTGTGAGTACAATGTTAGTTTAATTTTATGGCAACAACAGTGTACAAACAACAGATATAAAGACCCGGTAAACAGTGTTTCATGCCATTATAGGATTCCTTTCCCAGTCCATAAAATCTTTTCCCATATATATTTGCTGTAAAGTGCAACAATATACGCCCTGATCTGCCATTGCATAATGCACCAGCAGATCAAGGTCTATGCTTTGTTATACTGATTAATCCTAGCAAACTGCTGAGACCCAGATCTGTCCACATGTTATCCTGACCTGTGTAGCATATAAGTGAGTATATATGGTACCAATGACATATAAAAAACAATAAATCTTTGACTAGAGTGAACTCTTTATATTGCAAGTCTTACCTTTGCAACAGGTATACTCAGCAACAGGAGAAACCATCTAAAGTTCTAAACTCACCTGCCTAAATGATATATTGCCCAAAATGTGATGTCAACTAAAGTCCATTCCTCACCTGTATAATATGTGTTAGAGACCATCTGAAGTGTTGAACTCAAGTGTGTAAGAGGTATACTGCATAACAGGAAAGGCAACCTGAAGTCCTGAACTCACTTGTGTAATAAGTGTACTACCCCATAGAAGTCATCTAAAGTCTTAAACAAGCATATGCATGTGCAATAAGTGTCCAACCTGATAGAAAAAGCCATCTTAAGGCCTGAACTCACCTGATCTTCGTAATTGGTATACTGCCCAATAGGAAAGGCCATGTGAAGTCCTGAACTCACCTAACCTGTGTAATTGGTATACTGCCCAATAGGAAAGGCCATGTGAAGTCCTGAACTCACCTGCATAATAGTTATACTTCCCAATAGGACAGGCCATCAAAAGTATGTAACTCACCTATGTAATAGGTGTTCTGCCCAATATGATTGACTATCTAAAGTCCTAAACTCACCTGTATAATAGGTGTCCTGCCTGAGAGGAGAGGCCATCTGAAGTCTTAAACTCACCTGTGGACTGCCAACAGGAGAGACATCTAATTTAGTCCTAAACTCACCTGTGTAATATGTGTACTGCCCTATAGGAGAGATCATCTAATTTAGTCCTAAGTAAGTTTGGTATGACAATTTGCTAAAGTGTTTCTGAGAGCCAAACATTTTCTTATCAGGGACAACATATATTAACCGCCCTAATGAACAAACATTCAGACTTCCCCTACATTTACCTTTCTTCCTGATGCTTGTAGACACTGGAGCTTTATATCAAAGAGGCAATAACAATCTTAATTAACAAGTTTCCTTGCTTTGATGCTTTCCTTCC